AGCCCCTCCTTGTTCCTGCAGCGTTTTGTCGCGTGTAAATAGGCAAATCACCTTTGAGTTGTTGGTTAGCAGTAAATAAACCTGTCGCATGAGCAAAACGCGTTAGATTCGGGGTTTAGTTGGCTACTTTCTTGAATCCGAACTAACATCTTTTCCAGTAAACGTTACAATAATGAAATCAAACAAATTTCCAGTTATAGGAGAACAAGACGCGATCATTTTCTTGACCGCTACAAGTTACCATAGCCTGTTAAACATATAACCAGTTCAGGACACCATTAATTTTGGCCTCGAGTATCTATAACTCAAACTGAATGAGCCAGTTGATCCCCATTATTTCATTTTTCACAAAGTCTTAAAAACAAACGTGGTAGCAGACTCAGAGCCGTCTTAAATTTTAAAAAAAATTTATATGGTTCTGACACAACCATATCTTTTTTAAACTTGAAAAAAAGTTAAATTTTAAAATGGGGGTCACTGGTGCATGGACTCATTTTTGAGTTATAAACTCATAAATTTAAAATTTAGTGCTAGCTCGGGATATTTTAGCATGCCTGCTTCGGGAAAATTGCCGGAAAGCAAATGCGCGTTGTATGAATTCGTGATATACAGAAATGTACAATAGCATGGTGATTCGAGACAAAAGAAAATTATAATGAAGACAACAAGCAACATGGGTGAAAATCAGTGTAACATTTTCCTGAGTTGATGCTGAAAATTAGCGATCTTCTAATGTTTCAATTAGTTTGGAACTACGGGATAACGTTAAATATGGATTAACTCTTTGAGGGCCAAGTCTAAAAAGAATTCATCAAGGTTTTTTTCAATTCCCATCCAATTTAATCATTTTAGGGGCAATTTTCGATAAAAGCAAAATAACACCCCACACCAGTTGATATTCAAGCCAATGTTTCTGAAAGTTATAAGATTCATTTAATATCAGAATACCATTTAGTCAAGTCTTGTGGGCATAGTTTGCAATAACATTTAAAACAACTCCGTTTTTGTTGTATTTTGACGCCTTGAAACTTCACTCGCAATTTTCTTGAAAACGCTTTTATAGATTTTTTTAAAATTTTGCCATCGTTATGACAACTATGTCAAGTACGAGATCCCGACGTCGTATTTCCCAAATTATCCCTGATGACAAGTTATTCGGTCTTATGTAAAATGGGCTATGGCACCATTTCGTTGCTAGGGTAACTCAGATCCTGGTGAAACGTACCCCATGTGAAACTTTCATCTTTCCTTAGCACACCAGTAACGTTTGATTTTCTGTTGGATTGATAATCGAGCCACCTTAAGGCAAAATTTTGAAAAAAGGAGACTTGTTATATTTCCTTAATTGCATGACGTCACCAAAATTCGAACTACAAAACTATTGATCTTTCTGAGATTTTACTTAAATGATGTATAGGAGCAGCTGAAAACTAATACTCATACAAATTTTCGCCCCGAACGGGTTCTTGGTTTTGTGATACACTACGCTTGAATTTCTAAGCTTTTACGTGACGCGGTATTTACATGACG